TACAAACCTCTACTGGGCACAGCTCGTCCCGGAGAATCACTTCGAGCACGACCTTACCGGATGCACTGGCCTAACCGCATTCCATTCCAAGGAAGCGTCCGTCTCTGTACCAATTTCACGTCTTTCGCGATTTTTATCCTGAAACCCTTGCTCAGTCAATTATTCCAAATCTATCAGCACATTGTATGAACTTTCTCATCAAGGAATTATTCATACTTCTTCGAACCGCTTACCTCCCATTGCTTCTGGACGATTCGTGCCGCCTGGGATGTCACGCTGGCCACCTCGCCTTGTTCGCGGCATAATTCCTGAAAAATTACAGATTAAAATTAAATCAAATAATTACGAATTACAGAAAACAATCAGGTATTGATAAGAATCAGCTCCTCGAGATCAATCCCTAAATTCTGAAAATGAGCAGGTGTGCAAGCGAACACAGCTAAAAGCAGGTATAGCCGGGTAGTTATTTTCTTTTTTTTTCAAGATAACCCTTTTATTTCGACTACTCATGCATTAATCGATCCCTATCAAACATATAATTTCCTAGGAAAGAAGGAAAAGTACAGTAGATGAAAAAGGGATTAGGGTCGCAGTAACGAGTAAATGGGCAACAAGTAGGCGCGCAGTCGCGGAGCGTTTGAGCCACGCAAGTGGGCATAGCTAACGAAATCCCCTCAATAGTAACCCATTCCGATCTTAGTTAGCCTAATTTGCCACTGGATGTAACCCCAACCTCCAGCATAAGTAGTCCCAGAAATCCGACCAGAACATTAGTACTACTCAGGCTTTTTTGATGATTTTTCCCAATTCTGTACCAACACATACCTGTAGATCGAGGATTTGCCTTTCCTTATCCAGGATGACGTTGTTCAACTCAACAATTCTTTCGTCCTGTAAAAAATCTTTTCAGAAGCTATTCACTAGGCGAGAGTTATGGGGCCCTACCTTGAAGAGCATCTGCTGATGGATTCGATCCATGTCGAGCATCTGAGCTGCTCGTTTTCGTTCTTGAATTTCTACCGAACTCAGGGGTTGCGAGGCACGGAGTTGTTCTTCCATGTTCTTAAAAAATTCTATTACAGCTAAAAATGGATTATAAGAATCGAAATAGAGCAAGTGATGAAGAACATTAGACGGGGTTGAATCTAGGAAAATGGCGAGAGCGGAAGAGCTTGGGAGGGCAGTCTCCAGAACCTGCTGCCAATGCGTCACAGACCAGTTGCATCTCTGCCGTTTCACCCCTCCGTTTCTCTGAGCTTAATCTTGCCTAGTTCTGTAAGGAGTGGA